TCTCTCCCTCTCTCTCTCTCTCTCTCTCTCTCTCTCTCTCTCTCTCTCGTCAAATTAAAAATAATAATAACAAGTAAAATAAATAATTCTTTTTTAAAAATTACTTCTTTTGAAGATGGTATGGTGGTTACATTGCTAGAGTCCCACATGGCCGACTATGATTCAAGTCCTGGACCCAGGGGCTTGAAAATCACACCAGATGCATGTGTGTGCATGCCCAAGAGTCTAAGAGGAGAATGGAGAAGGGATTGCAGCATGGCCGTCCTCCCAGGGGGGCGATTTCTCACTTTCCCTCTCACTATATCTGTCTCTCACTCTCCAGCAAGCACATGCACCTCATGGCAAAAATCTCTAATAAAATTTAAAATGTTTAAGAAAACAAAAAAAAAAAAAAACCTCTCTCTCATTTAAAAAAAAAAAAGAGGAAGAAAAGAGACAGAGGGTCTTGGATGACCTTAGAGGTAAAAACAAATGAAGCTCCACCCACACCCCAATAAAGGGAGGTAAGGAGGCTTCAGTTATACTGAGCAGGTTACAAGTTGAGAGCAATTATGGTTGCTGCTTTTGCCTCACCTCCTGCCTGTGAGAGGTTGTCCCCACACGTCCTCGTGGGTCGCAGAGGTGCCTGTGCTCGGGGAGGGGTGCAACAGCAGCTGCCGTTGTAACGTGTCTGCCTCCAGTCACCCGATCAGCAACTTCTCTGTCCCTGTCTCTTCTCCAGATGTCGCTATTACTCCAACCTCCGCCTGCCCCTGATGTACTCCCACCCCTACAGCCAGATCACCGTGGAAACCGAGTTTGACAACCCCATTTATGAAACAGGGGTGAGTAGGTCTCTCCTCTCTCCCCAGCTCCTCCTCCTTTGCTCTGCATTTGCCGACCATGACACTGAAGGTTTCGTTTCCTTTTGCTCATGAGAAGCAAGGCCAATGGTTCGGTTTCAGCTCTGCTAAGATCCCTATTGAGATAACTACCAAGAGAACCCAGTTTTCTTTGCGAGTGGTTGCAGCTGATGGCAAACCTGTGAGTCTGTTCACTCAGTAGAACACCCACAGAAGGAAGGAACTGTACCGAAGACCCACCAGGAGAGGGCTGAGAGGAGTCAAAGCCCTCTGGTGGCCTGGTGGTGACATATGATATTTGCATACAACTAGTGAGCCCGGCTCCTTCATGAAGAGCAGTTTACAACCTGCCTGCACATTTGAGTGGCAGGCCCTGTGTTGGATACTGAGAACACAGCCATGGACCCACTAGACACAGATCCTGAAATGCATTAGCTTACAGTCTTGGGAAGGAGACAGATTTCAATAAGAAGATGTACCGTGGGTGACGCACTTTAAATACCTAATCTCTGTGAATCTTTGCAGCTCTTTGCAATATGTTCCGCAGTTACCTCTGGTTGATTGATGAGGACATCAAAAGTCCAGGGAGAGGAAAACTAATTTGGTCAAGGTTGCACACAGCCAAGATGTATAGCCTGGAGCCAGGACTCAAGCTCCACCTGCTGTCATTAATCATCACGCTGTCCTGCCTCCCCTTGAACCTCACCCAATCAAACATGCTCATGAATATCTTGATCACAATAAATTATCCCGTTTAAGGACCATGAAAAGAATTGGATGAGGTGCTAAAGAGTGTATGATGGGGGACGCTTGGGAAGAAGTGGGAAGAAGTGGGAAGACTTCTTTGAGAAAGTGGTAACAAAGCTGGGATGTGGAAGGTAGGTAGGGCTTAGATGGTAGCGGAGGAGAAGTCACATGACCAAAGGCCTGGCCACAGGGAGGTATGAAGCACTAGAACCATAATGCATCTCTCTCCCACACAAAGGCTTAACAAATGTGTGTGCTTCTCTCTCTTTCTTGCAGGAAACCAGAGAGTATGAGGTCTCTATCTAAAGAGAGCTACACTTGGGAAGGGAACTTATGGAACTCAACTACAACCTCCTTGAGACATTCATCCAGAGACCACGTGGCATTTGATCAAAACCCCAGAATGTCAGCTGTCTTTTCCTTTAGACTCTTTATTGAAGATTTACTGTTTTCTTCACTGTATTTATTATATTTAAAATTGAAATAGGTGTGGTTGGATGTATTGTGGCTGCAACAGCCAAACTAACTCATGTTACAACCTCAATTCTGAAGTCAGGTGGAAACTTATAAAATGGCAAACGGTGACAGCGTAAACAGAAACAAACAAAACAGCAACAGATCAAGTCTCTCCCATCAGCCATGTGACGCTCAGGCTGCACCGAATTGCATGCCTCTTCAGGATCCATGCCCATGGTGTTTTTGTGCAAATCGAAGTACCGAGATTAGGTTGGAAAGGCTATTTTTTGTTGGATTCATGTGGGTTGGGATTTAACAAGGGCGCGTATGCCCAGTGTCAAGCTCTACTCCAAAACAAACTCCGTGTCCTCTCTTCCCATTTTACCATCTTTTAAAAGGTCTTGCCCCTCCCCTGCGCCCGTGGTCCTTCTCAAGACCACAAAGGTATTACACAAACATTGTCTTTTACTACCCTGGCCTCAGTGGAAGCTGACAAAAATAACACAACGTTTTCTTTCCGAAAAGGTGATAAATGACAAAAGACAATTTTCAGAGAAGATGAGAGATTTGAGAGTTCCAGTGAAGAACTGGGTGAGGGACGATGTTCGGTGAGGGAATTGAGTTAATAAAATGTTCGTTTCTTTGACACTCCTTCAATGATGAAAGAGCAGGTAATTTATACTACAAGTGCCAGAATCGATCACACAGCAGGCCACTCTCCAGCTGTGATAATAAACCCACAAACCCAAGAGTCGCAGGCAGCTTCACCCTTGTAGTTAGAAGGGTTTGCACTGGGAGGGGCAGGCGTGTGTTCTGAAATCCGGGGCGAGCTCTGTTTTTCTCGAGTTTCTGGAACGCCTTAGTCCTCAAAACGGGGGAACCTTGTATGCACGGTTTCCTCTAAAAAGTGTCACCTTCCGAATAGACTTGCAAGTATGTCAAGGGAAGGAGGGTCCTACAAGAAGAACCGACTTTTCTATTCTCTGAAGCTCTCTGTCTGGATATGGGTTGGTAGTGTGAATGCTGACTACAGAGGTGCAAAGAACCGAAGCAGAGGTTTTGAGACCACAGGGAATCACATCATGGAATCTGCAACATCGGAGCTGAATATCAGTGAGGAGAGAGAAGGAGGAATTTCAGATCAAAAAAGAAGTCATAGCAGCACTTCTTTTCACTTGGGCATCCTTATATTTTATCAGGGTCCTTTCGCCCTAAGCCAGTGGAACTGGTAAGTGTGTGGCTTTGGGGAAGATTCTTTTTTTTAATATAAGGATAAAGAAAAGGCAAGCCAGGGAAGATGGTACGAGCCTCTAGTCTCAGCTACTCAGGAGACCAAGGTAGGCAGGTTGCGAGTTCAAAACCAGCCTGACAACATAACAAGACCCTCTCTCTCTCTCTAATTTAATTTTATATTTTGTTGTCTACATTTAATGTTGTACATCTTTATGGCGTACAATATTGTTTTTCAAAGCATGCATGCAGTGTGTGATAATCAGATGAAGGATATTATCGTATACATCATTTTCAACAAAGAATCTTACATTCTTGTGTCTGTTAAACTCTTTTTTTTTTTTTCTTGGCTCTGTCTCTTAAAAACAAACAAGAGTTCACAGAACAGTACACATGAGGCAGATTTACCTCCCTGGGACCACGCCATGACAGTTGATGGGTCAAGGCACATAGGCTTGCCAACTTTCAGAGCCTTTTTGGATACCTCCCTCCTCATGCTCTAGCATTGTTTTAAATCTGCTGGTTTTCAATCAAGAAAACAAAACGCTTTCTGGCCTGCCATAGGGAGAATGGCTGGGAATTCTTATTTTGATAGTCGTTTTGGAAACCGTGCAAACCAAGTTAGAGAAATTGGCTTTAAACACACACGTTCCCTCCTCTCCAGCAAGAGCTTACACCTCAGTCTTGGGGGTCTGAGGCTGGACTATTTTTCTGCCAGGAAAGAATCGTGATGTATCTCCTGAAGGCAAGCATTGTGGCGTACTGTAAGAGAGAACTGAAGAATGCTTTCCAGACACTCGAAGCCCCATTTAATGCAAGAACCAGAGGAGTGAGTGCACAATGTCGTCTTTGGAGAAAGCCAATACAAATAATATAACCTCTCTTCAAATGGCAGAATTCAGTCCTTTCTATTATTTCTGTTTGATGCTTATTCTCAGCCTAACCCTGGGTCATCTGAAGAGAAGACCTCTATTCATGGCATTTGATTTCAGGACATACTATGGTTATGTGGAAACTCAACATTTGCCTTTTGTAAAGACTGACAATACATACAAAATCTTCAGTCTAACCCTGATCCCTAGAACTGGCCGAGCCATGGTCCAGATAGTCTGATTGACTGCTAGGGAGATGGAAAAGAGGCAGATTTTTTTTTTTTCAGGAAATCCATGTTCTGTCTGAGTAGTACAGCGTCTGTAACCATGTTATCAAAGTTCGTTTTCACCCAGAGATGGATCATGTGAGCTCAAACAATGTGCAGTGATTGGAAATACAGGTTGGTGTCTATTTTTCTTTTTAAAATATCTGAATGTGTATTTGTAATATGTAAAGGTTAAAAAAAACTAATAATAATTGTGCCAAAAAAATGTATGAGGCATCTCATTACGGTTCATATATGTCTGTTTTTATAAGATCCGTATTAAGAACCCATGGGGATTAAATATTTTTGAACAGGATAGACTCTTGAGAAACTCAAGAACAGACTGAGCCTTCCTACAAACCACTCTTTGTTTTTTAAACAGTGGGAAAATACGTTTACAGAGATTGCGAGCTTCAGAGGATGCATGTGATGGCGTGTATTACATGCTAATTCATATAAGCTGTATCTGTCAGCTACCACCCTGTGCTTTAAAAATGCACACATTCAACCCTCTTTAGCTTGGAGCTCAGCCTTTTCCTTTATCTCTCTCTCTCTCTTTTTTTAATTTGGTAGACTTTTTTTTCCTTTTTTAGCTAACATACGTATTCTGATTGCTACCTGATGGCCATTCTTACTTAGTTCCATAGAAATGCTTTAACTATGATCTCTTTTGAAGTCAGCTCCTTGGAGAGCCTACAGAACCTCAGGCTGATAGCTTTGAAAACTTCCAAGCAGCCCAGAAGGAAGCAAGGCAGCTACATAAACAGGATACTTACATAAGAAGAAGTGATTTGGCAAGTATGTTTGTAGCTAGCTGAAGGATGAGCCTTGAGCAAAATTGACCCTTTCTTGGGGGAAAAGTCAAAGGGCATGGATTTCCAATGTCCTTGATGAAGCATAGTGAATTATTTGAGATCAAATGTTGTAAGTTGTTCAGCACCCCAAAGGTAGGTTTTCTCCTGGGACATTTTCATTTTCATTTTATTGCCAAACAGAATAAAAAGCAAAACAAACTTTCTAAGCTAGAATAATGAAACTAAGTCATTTTCCACTTTGTATATATTGATGCTAATAAAACAAATGAAAAAAAAGTAAAATCTATGAGATTTTTGTTGCAAGCACTCCAGAATGGCACCAAATAGAATTTTTCCAGGCTGGCCCCATAACACAGTAATTCAGTATTGTACAAAGGAAACTGGATCCCACATCATCAACCAGGGTTCAAGTTCCATCCCCAATGGCTTGAAAAACACACCAGAGACATGCATGCATGGAAGATCCTGATGAGATAGAAGATTAGAGGGGGAAAAAGGTTCCTACTGGAAAATTCTTCTCTCTCGCATCCTCTGGCATTAATTGTTTCTCTTTTTGAAAAAAGTATAATATTTCTAGTTTCTGGGTATTGGGCTAGTATTAACACTCACTGATACTTTGAATGCCAAAACAGGACTGCCTACTTTGGAATGACTCTGGGAACATTCTAGCAATGTTTGGAAGAAGACAAGTCTCAATGACTACCATTGTGAGACACAGCATCACCCTCTCTGTCTTAGCTCAGGCTGTCATAATAAAATACTGCAGACTAGGTGGCTTACACAACAGAGATTTATTTCTCTAGAAGCTGAGAAGCCCAAGATCAGGGTGCCAGCCAATTCAGTTCCTGGTGAGGGCTCTGTTTCTGGTGTGCAAGTGGCCTTCTCACTGTGTCTTCACATGTTGAAGGGAAAGAAGAAGGGAATAAAGAAAGAAAGATCTTCATTAAAAAGTCGCAGTCTTATCATATTACAGTCCCATCCTTATGAACTTATTTAACCTTAATCAGCTACTAATATTTCTATCTTCAAATGCAGTCACATTGAAGTTTAAGGCTTAAACATATGGACTCCATAGCATATGTTGAATTTCAGTACATAGCACTTCACCTTTGACCCCTTCCCCCAAATTCATGTTGTTCTTGCGTGAAAAAATACATCCATTCTATCCTAACATCCCACAAAAATCTGAATTCATTTCAGCATCAACTCTAAAGTCTAAAATCTCATATAAATATATCTAAATCAGGTGTGAGTGAGACTTGAGAGATGATTCATCCTCAGGCAAAATTTCTCTCCATCTGTGAACTTATTAAAACAGACAAGTTATATGTTTCCAAAACACAATGGGTGGACAGGCTTAAGGCAGACATTCTCATTCCAAAATGGAGAAATTGGATATTGGAAGGAGTGATGGATCTCTCCAATCCAATTACAAGTTCAAAACCTAACAAGGTAAATATCATTAGATCTTAAGGCACTAGAATAATCCTCTTGGTTTCTGTGCTCTGCCCTAGTGGCCCATTAGAATGGCAGCATCACCTCCATGGCTCTTTGAAGCAACCCTGTCCACATAGGTATCTTCAGAGACAGCCCACCCCTGAGACACTGGGCAGAATCATCCTGACTTAAACTGAGACACAGCCCCACCTTGGAAACAGAAAAGAAAGCAGCCTTGGCTCCTGAATCTGTAGTGGAAGTGGCAGCCCTGATGTTCTCTTAATTGCCTTCAGGGTCATTCTTCCCCTTCCTTGAAGAAAAGCACAGATTCACATTTATGGTCTGGTCCTGCATAATCCAAGAAGTCTGACAGCCATCCTTCATTCCACCCTGCTTTCTCTGTCTTCTTTAGTTCAAATTGGCAGTGTCTTTGCTATCATAATTCCCTCTTTCTTCCTCAATTCCACTGAGATGGCTGGTTAAGTCTATGAATCATACCCATGATCTCTTTATCAAATAGTTATTCAGTTACAACCTTCACACCCTTAGTGTTCTCTGCAGAATAAGCTTTTTCTTCCCCTCAATATAGATAGGCTGAAGATTTTCCAAGTCTTCACATTCTGGTTCTGGTTTTTGCTTAACAAATCCTCACCAATTCATCTCTTTATTTTAAATTTTACTGTAAGCACTTAGGAGGAACCAAGCCACTCCTTCAACACTTTGCTTTGAAATCTTCTCAGCTGAATACCTAACTTTATGGCTCAGAAGTTTTGTTTGTTTTTGTTTTTGTTTTTCCCCACAAAACACCAGAACAAAGCTAGGTTAAGAACTTTTCTACTTATAACTAGGACTGCCTTTCCTTCCATTTCCAATAACCTGTTTCTTACTTCTAAGACCTCATTCTGGTGAGGTAATGTCCATATTTCTACAATGTTCCACTTGTAGCCATGTATGCTTGTTTCTACCATGCACCTCAGAACTCTTTCTGCTTCTACCCACTACCCAGTTCCAAAGCCACCTCCACATTTCTAGGTATCGTTAGAGCAGCCTTCTATTTCTCAGCACCAAAATCCGAATAGTCAGGGTTCTGAAGAAAAGGAATCAATATATTGTGTGTATATGTAGACAGCTGGATAGATTAGATAGATGAGATAGAGATAGATGATAGAATAGAAAGCTATGGGGGAGAGGGAGAGAGATGAATTTACCATAAGAAATTGGGTCACACAATTACAGGGACTAAGAAGTCTCAAGATTTGCAATCATCAAGCTGGAGACCCAGAAGAGCTGAGGTATAGTTCTAGTACTAACAATAAAGCCTATTCCCATGAGAACCAACTGTATAACTTCCAGACTGAAAGGTGGCAGGCTTGAAACACAAGAAGATAAAATATCTTGAGGCTGGCAGGTGGCATGGTGGTTAAGGCACTGGACTCCCACATGGCTGACCACAATTCAAGTCCTGGACCTGATAGCTTGCTTTCTCACTTTCCTTCTCTCTCTGTCTCTCTCTGATGAGCACACATGCCCTATAGCAAATTTTTAAAATAATAATTAAAATTAAGTAAATAATTATTTTTAAAAATCCAATATCTAGACTCAAATTCAAAAACCATAAAAGACCCATGTCCATGGGGCCAGCAGATGGCATGGCGGTTAAGGTGCTAGAATTTCCACATGGCCAGCCATGGTTTGGGTCCAAGACCTGGCAGCTTGCTTTCTCATTCTCTCTCTCTCTCTCTCTCTCTCTCTCTGTCTTTCTCTGACAGAACTCATGTGAAAAACAATATTAA